CAATGAATTTTCCACACAATCCCTAATGGTTGAATCGTCCTATTGTTTTGTCTATCGTTTCATGGATGGTAGGCTATACTCATGACTAGCCTATCCCTAAGGGATTTCTTGAAGTGACTGCCAAATTCGGAAGGTGATTCTATTATCTCGAATAGAGATAACAGACATTTGAACACCGAGCAGTCTAACTAATCTCTCGGATACGCGTTCCCTTAGCTTTTCTATTGTGTCTAGTTTCTTCAATTTGCAAGGAGCGTGCATATTTAATCCATCAACGGTCACTCAAAATGATATCGTGTCCGCCTGTTGCCTTGGGTAGCTTTGACTATAAATCCTAACGCAATCTGTTGTCTTTGATTAGCAGAATACCCACTCGTAGACCTGGCAACTTTGCCCTAATGTCCATGATTTGATTCATACCTGGTCCATCTATCATTACCTCGTGTATACAAGTCATATATAATTAAGATTAGTAAGGTGGTCGGATGTGCGACTCTGCCCCAGGTCCACAACCAAACAAGGAACAGGAGGTAGGGCGGAAACACACATACTAAATCTGCATAATCTTAATTATATACCACCCTCGCGTATAAACTTATTAGTGATAGGTGGGCTATATTCGTTCTTAGCCTCGATGCTTTAACTTCATCCGTTGGATGAGTGGTAGTTCGGGAAGGTCTATTGAATATACGGTGGTAAGGCTTCGGGGGGCAAGGTACTCCTCGCATGAGTACTTCGGGGTTTGGAATATGAGCGAGATGATTCTGAGGTCTAAGTCAGGTTGACGTTACGAATGATGAAGGTTTCGTGAATTTGACGGTCAAGGCGATGGAAACATATGAACTTAGTATGGTAAGGACCACGCCAACTCATGACGAATAATGTAACAGACTCTTTTACCGAAACAAAGGTTAGGTTGATTTGAAAGAAATGTTTGCTATACGACGGTGTATTCTAAGTGTGCTTGACAATGTACTTAGTGTAAGTGTTCCAGTGCTTTCTGTTTTCTCCCTGATGCTAATATTGCCACAAATCGTACCGCGATGAGCGAGTACTAATAGTGCAATGTTTTGATAACTAGTGTTGATACTTTATATTATGATCCTTTTCGGTACCTTTATGATCGCTCTGCATATACAAGTTATGTATAATTAAGATGAAAAAGATGGTCGACTGAGTGGCTCTGCTCTAAATCCACAACCAAACAAGGAACATGAATTAAGGCATAATTACTCACTCTAAGTCTACAAAATCTTAGCTATACACAACCCTGATGTACATACTAAGCCACCATAGCTCCCGTAATAGATCTTTAGTTCTCTCATGAGTGTCGTGACTTGTTCAAATGAGTGAGTTATTAGAATTACTATTATATGTTTTCCCCAAGTTTTAATCTTAGATAAATATAAATTCATTTTTAAAGTAATTCTTATTTAAAGGAATTACCAAAATCTCAAAAGCGGGATTCCTTGTTGCTCCTTTTTGTCTTGTTGTTAGTTTCCTCTTTTTCCTCCGATTTATGACGACCGACTAATTGAACAAATCAAATCAGTCCAAGCTTGGCCAAGAACTTAGGGGTGTCATCACTAAATCATCGAAGGGCCCACATATGTCGATTTTATCCACATGGGGTTAAAGGAATGGATAAACTTCGACCTAAATACATGCTTGTACTTACTCATCAAATTACACACAATGATATGTTTTATAACACCAAGTTACTGGTGTGTTTACATATGTCAATGTGTAACCGACTTGCAACTACCCCTATGCTACAAAAATCTTAATTTGGTGGAAAAAACATAAACCCTAAGTTCACATGCATCCTAAAGGATCTATGTTCTCATTATGATTTGCAAACAACTATTGAATATCAAGAACCCTGAAAGTATGTTGCTATTTTCGAAATTCGTAAAGGGTTATTAGAAAATTCATACCTTAGTTTATTATAGCAAATAAACTAGTATTCTTTCATTTTTGGTCTTCAGAAAGTCAACATCAGAAGTTTCCGTGCCACTAATGGCTCATATCCAAAACCTAGCAAATTGGAGGCTAAAGTGGAGAGAAAAGTAGGAAGGCAATTTTTGAAATTCTCTTTGGAATGAGGTGAATTTAGAAAACCAAAACCTAAGGGGGTTTATATAGGTGATAGGGAGGCTAAGGATAATCAATTTCCTTTTAGATAACCCTAATCCTTTTGATTTCCCCCTAGGACATCCAAGTTCCTTAAGATCCCAAGAAAAGCTCTAAAAAACATCTAGAACTACTCTAGAACCGTCCCCCTCATGGGAAGTTCTAGAATTTGTCAATGCTTAAATTTTAAACATTATCACCTTTAGTCATTCTATTTTTAATTAATTTAATTAATACCAATTAATTTATGATTAATTTTTAATTAAACATTACTATTTCTAATTAACATATTATTCTCATAATATATTAATAAAATGTATTTTTTTCTAATTAATTTATTAATCATATAATAAATTTATACATCAATCTCTCTCTCCAAAAAATATTTTAGTCAATTACCAGGTTTTAGGGCAACCGGATTTTTTTTTGCTAATAATTCAATATTATACTAAATTACTTATTAACTTAGACACCTAATCCAATAAAAAGATGATGTGACAATCCATTAAACTGTATGAAGTTCAGTGCATTGTGGATGCACTTAAAACTACTAACAAACTCTATCAATTATCTTTTACCAAATTATTTAATCAAAATAAGTTCTATGGGTTAAGCCTAACTTTTTACTAACTTAATCAAATACTCAATACTTTTCATAAGCTCAGAAGCGTAAAAATGTATCAATTTCAATTTACATCTACATTAAATCCTATCAAAGAAACAATTTGATGATTGTTACTTATTACTAATTACCAAAGTAGTTATGGATTTTAACAACTATTTAACTAGATTGACTTAATCCTAATTCAGGTGATCAATCTAAATTGAACGAAAATCAAACGTTAGGTTAAATAAAAATTGAAATCACTAAACAGAAACACAAATTAAAAATTAAATTTAATGATTAATCACATAAAAAGTAGAAGTCTCTGCAAAATTGAAAACCAAGAGTTTTAGCTAGACATGGCTAAAAACAAATCAAAACGATATAAATAAAGGCTAAACTACAAATCTGAATAAATTAAACTACTAGTCGAGTCATGATCTTTAGATCTTCATATAAAACGGCTGAAAAATCATTTGGAGAAGGTCTAGAGCGAGTATTGCTTGGTGAAGACCCTTTAGGTAAAAAAAGTTGTATCTATAGACTTTTCTAAAAACATACCACTTATGCGGTGCTTAAGTGGTATGGATGCGTCGTATAGCATTAAAAAATGTCTAATTCATATTAAATGAAGTACATTGCTATTTCAGGACCTCGGGAAAGTTACACAATCGTGTAGCCATGAAACACGATTGTGTAAACATCAATATCATCGTGTAACTTTAACGTGATCTTCAAGGAGTGTGACATTTTCGTCTGTCACTACATTGTCAAACGCCTAAAGAAACCAGACTATGGATTTACCATCTATAGATTAGAATATAGTACTTGCTTATTTGTTCTTGTTCAAGTTAAACCTTTTGTGTCAACATACCCATTTTGATGGGAGGTCTTTATTAAATACTAATAAATGCGTAGGTTGTATTGTTTAGAGAATTTAAAGCAAAGAGAGTTTGTAAAATGCAATTCAAAAGGGAACTTAGGGGGGGGGGGGGGGGGGAGGAGGTTATTGTTTATCGTTTTAATATAAATTACTCACTAGGCTTTTGGTTGTGTAATGAATTACGCTTTTGATGTGTTAGGTGTAGAGTAGTGATGATAGAAGAAGAGCATGAGAGAAGAACCAAGAGGTTTACTTTTGATGTGTTAGGTGTACAGTAGTGATGATAGAAGAAGAGCATGAGAGAAGAACCAAGAGGTTTACTGGGAGTTAATTTTGAAACTAGCATTTGAACCTTGTTATATCCTCCGTACTATTAAATGATTCGATAAGTATTGGAATGAAACATGTTTTGAGAAAAAAGTTTAAAAACTTATTGTATTGAAATAATTAATGTTTTCTTAAAATTAACATCTCTTTTATTTTAGATCATACAAGGAGTGTTACAATTTCTCAGATATCTCATTGAAGAAATGTATTTCCAGCAAGGCAACATACTTTATGTCTCAACATGCCTATACTTGCAACAAAATATCTGTCTAATACTTCTTGATATCATCCAAACCCCATGTCTACAAAACATGGGTATTACAAGCAAGATGTAAACAAAATCGATAAGGAACATAAAAAAAGGTTTCCTGTTGATGAATATCATATTCTTGATTGAAATCATTTTTAACAATACCTTTTTTATATATTACAATGATACCAACAAACATGGGCTTCACTATATATAGACATTTAGAAACAAGGAAGGGACTTTCCTATATACAAAAGGGACAATTTACCAAGTCTAAGCTTTCATTACTAATGTTTGTTGTTTTTAATTAATATCATTATATACATATGGTTAGAAGCAGTGTAATAATGAAAATCATGAAGATAAGAGGGAACGTGTCTTGCTCAGTCTAAGTATTTTAGATTTGATTGTGGAGTACAACAATGATATGTAGATTAAGATAATGTATTACATGTAGGTAGTGAGGTTATGGTAGACAGTTGAACATGATCCAAAGAGTTGAGGAAGACAAATTTGAAAATGTAGACTCAAAAGTGTGGTGCTCGGGATGATAGGAGTCCAGTGGTACAATAAATATCATCAATTTTAAATGGAAGATGAGAATTATATTAGGAGGTTTGAAAGAGATAAGAACGTCGTGTCCATAAAAAAGTGACTCAACGAGAGATTTGTATAAGTGTTTTTAATGTCAAGATGAATATATTCCAGTTAATTACTCATTGAACTGTTATTTTTAGTTATCATCATACAACTAATGAGAAGACAAACGGACAGCAAATTGCATATCATTCAACCATCATGATGTGAGTTTGAATATCAACAAACGATAACAAAAAAAATTTCATAGGAAGTTAAAAACATTTATAATAACTTCATAACATTCAACTCAACAAGAAAGCTCAATTTAAGAAGACATCTAAGCTTTTGCGACATATATTTCGCAATTGAGTTTTTTTACTAGATCGAAAACACAAGATAAAGCTCAATACCCATAATTATCATCAACAATAGTATAACCTCCCCTCCGTGATCTTGCTTCCCTATCAGCCTACAAATTAAAACCAAAAAGTTGTTATACTTCATGCATAAGGACATGCATGTTGGAATAATCTAAGACATTTTAGAACGAAATTTATTTATTTTTTTCTTCTATTTTGGGCATGACCAACTAAATGCCACGTGGGGTCATGATTTTCATGTAATTTAGATGAGATTAGTGGTTAGTTGCTTTAAATACGTCCTTTCCATTTGAAGAACAATTGATTAGTAAATTTGCCCCAATCATTTCTCCCGTTCTCTTTTTACTCCGTTTCAAAGTCGTGAGAAGAAATAATTGGCCTTATAAAATGTATCATGTATGTTAAGGCAAGACAAGTGAATAATATATATTTAAACTCACCCTACTTATAATCCTTTCGAACTCTTCAGGTCCATTTTCTGCTATATATTTCTCTGCAGCAGTTAAAATATCATCCGGTTTACTGAAAATGCCTTTCTTTCGTGGTAAATACCATATTTTAACTTGTGGATTTCTGTAAAATGGTCTGATGAAATGCTTATAGACATAAGCAGCTCCATTAAAATAAGGCAATACTAACCAACATGTGGCAAATAGCCTCGCATATGGATATATTGGGAACCTGAATCATGAACAATCTTGTTAATTTACTCTAAATTTTTACCATTTATTGGACAATACCAAGTGTAAGATTCAATTATGGGAAACATTTTAGTGAAAAATAAAGTTTAATTATAATTACCATTCAAGAGGCTTTGAAAATGTAAGTTCAAAGAGTGTGATTAATGAGTAAAGAACCCAATAAGTTAGCCATTGTTGGTCATCTGATTGAGACCTTGTCTCTATAGCTTTGATTGAAGCATATCTGGTAAAGAATAAAACACAACCCTTTAAAATCTAAATACAAGCAAAAAAAAGAGTTAATTTCATGCACTCCAATATACCGATCAAGTTTCACACATCCAAAAAAATGCGTTCTTAAAATAAAAATAAAAATACTACAATTTAATGATTATAGAATGGATGACCTTTACATTTATTGATACAAAATATGTTAAAACCGTTTATACTTAAAATCTAGAAGTTTTGGTATTTTTGCAATAATCGTTTAGTGAATGATTCAACTATGTCAAGAAAAATGTTGTTAAAACAACGTTTTACTTGATCAATATAGAAAAAAATGCACATAAACTATATAATTATTGAATCAACTACAAATCATGCAAATGGATTTTAAAGCAAAAGGATCCGCTTACAAAGGGTAGACAAGAGCAATCACAGGCCTGCAACACAAACAATAAACGAAGTAAAAAGATCAGTAAAAAAATAAAATGTAAAATGTAAAGGAGCTAATATTTGAGTGTATAAACAAGTCATGATCAAGGTTTCTAGAATCCTAGGATATTAATTAAGTTGCCTTATATTCGTGAAACAACTTAAAGAACTCATTCATTTGATTTGTTGTTTTTAAAGCATATGTTATAAAATTAAAGAGAGTTAATAATAACATTAAAAAAATCAGTATATTACAGTGCATGAAATTAAAATAAATACAACTAAATCTAGAGTTTGTATTTTGTGCTTTCATATCGTTGCACAACATACCTAGGAATTTTTTTTATATGGCTATTACATGTTTAAAGTTTAATATTTAATATTGGAGATTAAAACAAATATATAATTAAGCAAAAAATAATAAAAGTTAAAAGTTAAATATAATAAATGAGTAAAAAATAAAAAATAAAAGATTTACTTATACAAACATAAAACTCAATAAAAACAGATTAAAATGGCTTTTAGTATTGATTAAAAAACAACTTACTCTAATTATAAAAAACATTGTAGTTGATTCTCAATATTTGACCTATCACATACCCCTATTAAAAATATTAAATCTTTAGTTTCAACATGATATGATATCTTTGAGATTTGATATAAAACTTTCAAGAACCGTTGTAAATTACTTAAATGAAGTTGTTTGGATTTTCAATTATTATATTTTTTTGAAGATGAATATAACAAAATTTTTCATTACTTTCATACGTAATATAAACGTAAAAAATAAATATAAAAACACAAAAAAAATTACCCAATAAGGACATCAATATTCTTGGCCACCACAGAGAGAAAATTTTGAGAACCCATATGCAATTTGTTTCAATAAATCACTAACATGTGGTTTATATATTGTGAAACAAAGGACCGTGAGGGTAAATGGCTTCCATGTTATTCAAAAGTGACAACTCTATATATATAATACTTTTTAAAACATGATTGTAAACAAAACATCATTATTACAAAATTGGAATTTTTAAAATTTCTAGTACTTTTCATATTAGCATTTAAAATAAATAAAAAATATTAATATTGTCCTTGTCACTCGGGCATAAGTTAAAAGACTATTCGGTAAGGTGATCGAGCATCGGTTATCCGTTTTTGAAACTGGAATTGACAACTTCAGAACCGGAACCAATATAACCCGTTAATATTTTGGTTCCTAAACTTGAAACCGAAAAAGATTGGTTCTGATTCTTGACATTTTGGAACTGCTATGTACTAGGTACCCGTCTTATATATATCAACTCCATAATCTATCTTTAAAATATTTATAAAATTAAATTTTAAATATTAAAATGTTAACTATAAGTATATTTCTAATTTTTAAACAGAGTATACAACCATACATTATGTTTCACATACATTTTATATGTCTATACAATATGAAACTTAAAAACATTTGTTGCAATATAAAACCTAAAAGCATTTGTTTTGAGCTAGTGACTTACTTCGATGGCCACAGTTTAAAAGGAAAAGAACTTCTATTTTTAAAATTAATTACATTTAGATCATGCCATCTCTATTATAAATAGAGGTACTCAGAGATTCAAATTTTCATTTTTCAGTTCATTTGTCTTTTACAAAATATATACAATCATTTAAGGTTCCTACATCTTAATGACAATATCACTAAAAAAAATAATAAAAAAAAAAAAAAAAAAAAAAAAAAAACCCTTAGAATCCGGATACTTGGACCGGAACCAGTTTCAAGATCTTAAGACTGATGCAATCGGTTCCGGTCCTGATTCCAACATTCCAAAACCGCTGGTTCTGATTTCGATTTCAGTTTCATACAATTTGGCCGGACGCCTATGTGAGCTCACCCTTACTATTAGGTAACCAAGTCTTCACATAAAAAATAGGTCTTCACATACAATTAGACATTTCGATCTTTAAAATGAATATAGCCTTGTTATATTATTATTATTATTATTATTATTATTATTATTATTATTATTATTATTATTTTGTGATTTACCCTTCAAAATCAAATGTTAAAGAGTGCTGAGAGGAAATGTCAAAAGGTAACTGAAAAAGCCGAAACTTTGCAAGTAAAAGTGCATTTTAGTTGGAAATATGGAAGCAAATTTGATATAAAAGAATCCTATGAGTCGCTAAAAAAGAGGCACCGAAAGAATTTAAGAAAAATTGACGTACACAAGATGTAATATATTTATAATAGATCAATTATTTTCAATATATCTATAATATTATTTTATATATTTCAACATTAACCGATTAAGAAAGTTATTTCATCGGCTACGCTAACTTGTTATAACAAGTTGTATAGATTTTTTTTTTTCGTTTTTTTTTTCTACGATTTTTTATCAAATTTTTTTTTAATTTTTCATGAAATTGTTATTAATTTTATTTCTTTTATAAATAGACCAGATTCCGTTTACCACTCATTTTTACATATCTTTTATACACATTTGTCACTATGTTTGTTTTTAAGATTTGTTTTATAACTTCAATTTTTTATTTTTAGTTTTCTTTTGTAAAACATCTCAAAAAGAATTATGATATACAAATTTTTGTAAAAATAATGGGAACAAACACCACACCACAACATGGGTGAACTAAGATCACATAATCATATGGAAAGTATGAGAAATATAACTATATATCATACCCTTTATATAATTATTTTTTTCTACGACAAATGGATAGGGTGAACTGATTAAGATGGGGTATAATTCTATATCCGATCTTAACCGGTTAACTTCCATCTACTTCCCATAGAAAAAAATCATATATAATTATATGTCTCGTACTCTCCATATGATTTTCATTTTATTTTTAATACCATTTTTATTAGGAAATGATCATTATATACCACAAAGTAATATAGTGAAGATTTTGTTTTAGGATAGAGACCAAATACTTTACAAAATATAAATAAGTGTCAAAATTGTTCAAATAATAACAAAATGTAATTATATATCTATTCTAAACTAAATTGTTTATCTAAGTTACACATGATTTTATTTTATATCATTAAAATAATCTAGTTTAATCAACATATATAACAATGCATTCTCTTCTACTAAATTTCAAATTTTAAATGAGATATGTTATATCACAACTTTAATTCCTTTTATAAATTTTTTATTTAACATAAATACATATTGGACATAGCATATATATGTAATCTCAAATTCATGTAAGTAGGCCAAGACTCGCTCTTGGACCTATATAGCTACCCCCTAATACTACATTATGTTTTTTTTAATCCTTCTCTCTTTTCTACCGGCGATGACATGCGTCGAGTAGTCCATGAGACATTGCTATAGGGTGGTCTCTTTATGGGCTCCATAGGGTGGTGTTTCTATAACTACAATTGCACGTATAACCTTGAACTACACATCAAAGTGTGATTTCCAAAGCCACTTCCAACTTTGATTCAAATCAAACGTTGGCCCTAAGATAAATGGACAACTATTCCTTCGTTCTACAAGATATTGTATGAACAGAGTCATGGATTAAATGATCAACCTCATGTTCATTTGTTTATTTCTCGGTCACCAATTTTATGATCAAATTCAAAATACAAAATTGAACACATCAATTTAGTCTGGACCAATCGCCTGGTTTTCATAGATCAACTCAAATAACCGAGGGGCCCAAATATATCGCTTTTCCTGTTAAGGAAAAAGGAACAAATAAACATTGACTACATAATTATAACCATTACTCATCAAATCGCACATGGCGCTAAGTTTTATAACATCAAGTTACTGATGTGTTTATGCACTACCAATGTATAACCGACTTGCAAATTATAACTTATGTAGCTTCGTTAAAAGAATACTAGATGTTATCTTCTTAGAATTACTTACGATTGAATCCATGAAGTAATCTCGAAGCCTGGGTTTATCCAATACTTAAAATCTCCATTTTCTAAGTACTCATGAATATTGCAAAAATCCGTATGCAATGTCTAATCCCTATGGACAATCTACAAACAATTCACGGTGGTCTTAATTCACAAATTACTTCCAAAAGTATGAATGGATATGGAATTTTGAATAATATTTAAATTACTCAGGGAAGTAAACATGCAAAGTGAAACACAATAATAAACTAATTAACTATGGTATCATACCCCTTGAATATAAATAAATCCCTATTATCTAATCACTAGAACAATTAAGAATTTATCCATTGTATATTATTTCGAGTAATCAATTAACCGCTTGAATTAAATAACATCAGTTATGCCATATTATAAACATCCATACTATGCCTCTCAAGGATCATTCATTTGTTAAGATATCGACCGGACATTACTACAATGATGCTCATTTCACAATTCCAAATTCTTATCATTATCTAAGATGTAGTTGAATTTCATATTTACATGCATTCACCTTTTGTGATGTCGAGGTTTTATAGTCATAGAGACTGAGCCTTTGATATCACAAAATGTTCCACTACAACTTGTTACTTGAAACAATTCCATGGTTATGAAGTCTCAAATTCAAGGTATACTCCTTGAACACTTCTCTTGCATTAAACTTTCCATCTTACATGTAGATTCTACAAACATCTCTATATCATCTTAATTTAGGTAATTTACATCTTTAACCCATTCTAGGCATATGTCATGAGGATCATGAGCCTCGTCTATTTTTTCCATTAATGGCTCACGATAAGAGCCATAGTTGGTACGTCGTGAGGGGTGATTTGGCTGTTGACTTTTGTTGATCATTTTCCGTTGATGGACTAGGATTTCCTTATTGGGAAACCCTACAAATCCCGGTTTAAGTCCATTATGGACTAGGATTTCCTTATTGGGCCTAATGGACCAATAAGTTTCCAATTTAACTATTTTGGGCTTGGAACCCTTAAATGGGATCTAATTGAACCCACTTTTATTAAACTTAACATTTTTGGGCCATAATAGGCCTAAAGTAAATTGGTTTACCCTAATGGGCTTTATTGGGCCATAATTGATCCAATTAACCCTAATGGACCATAAAACCCATTCTTTTATAATATTTGGGCCGTAAACTACCCTAAAGGCCCAATGGGCTGAAAACCATTAAATTGGGCCTCATATAATCGGAATCGAACATTTAAGGCCCAATTCACTTCTTTTCCTTCTCGCTTTCGGCCCAACATATATATATATATATATATATATATATATATATATATATATGTGTGTGTGTGTGTGTGTGTGTGTATGTGTGTGTGTGTGTATAATGATAATAATAATAAAAACAATGAATGGATGATGAAATAAGATGATGACAACACATTATTATCTAGCAAATAACTAGATAAATCACATGTATCAAGAAACTCATTATCCAACATGCAAAAATTCCATTCCTCCCCCTCTCTTCTTATTTTCAGCCAACACACTCACCGCCTCATTTCCTTCAAAATCTCTTAAGAAACTCTCTCTAGAACACCTCCTTCCTCCTCCAAAAATTTCGAAGATCTAGAGTGCTTTCAAGAGGATTATTCATCAAGATAATTATCCTTGGTAAGATATTACAAACCTAAGTTGATTTATTTTATTTTTAAACTCAAATTACTTCTCTTACCACCTTGTTTTCATGAATCAGACTCTAAAACTTCCTAGAATTCGAAGATCCTATCAAAGAAACAAGCTAGGCCGAAAACAACATCATCTTCTCATATTTCTTCTTCAAAACCGAAGCATCAAAGCAAAGGTGAGTTCATACCCCCTTGTTTTCGGTTTTTACTTGTTTTTGGGGGGAGAATACAAGTATTATGTGATGATTTATGTGTGTTTGCATGCTATATGTGATTTCTTTAGTTTTTGGTTGTAATAATGTGTAAATTTTGTTAAATTTTGATATCTATAGCAAAAAGGGTGAAAGAATCATAAACAAAAGCATAATAA